AAAAAAAAAAAAACAGACCTACAGTATCTAAATGTTTTTTGAAAAAGAATAATGTTGAAACCCTCACACAATTTGATTATTTATCTTTCACTCTGAAGGATAATGTTGCAGGGTAAAGGAATCTAGCTTGATGGTTTTCTTTTTTCTGAACACATTAATTATTTCACTCCACTCTTGGCTTACTTGCATAGTTTCTACCTTAGTCAGCTCAGGCTGCCATAACAAAATGCAATAGCCTGGGTAATTTAAGCAACAAAGGTTTATTTTTCACAGTTCTGGAAGCTGGAATTCTGAGATTAGGACGCCGGCACAATCAGGGGCTGGTGGGACCTCTCTTCCTGGCTTGCAGATGGTCACCTTCTCTCGGCTTCATACGGCCGAGAGAGCTCTGCCGTCCCTTCCTGTTCTTAGAAGGGCACTAATCCTGCCGTGAGGGCCCCACCCTCATGGCCTCATCTAAAATTAATTATCTCCCAAAGGCCTCATCTCCAAATAGCATCATACTGGGGGTTAGAGTTTCAACATATGAGTTTTTGGGGGACACAATTCAGTCCATAGTAGTTCCTGAGAAGTCAGATATGACTGTAATTTTTGCTCCTCTAAAGGTAAGGTGTTTTTTCCCTCTGGTTGCTTCAATATTTTTTATCTTTGATTTCAGGAGTTTACATCCATAGGTGTAGTTTTGGGCATTTATCCTGCTTGGTGTTCCCTGAGTTTCCTGGATCTGGGGTTTGTTGTCTGATATTAATTTGGAGAAATTCTCAGTCATTATTGCTTCAAATACTTCTCCGTCTGTTTTTTCTTTTCCTCTGGCATTCCCATTACACATGTTATACCTTCTGTACTTGTCTCACAGTTCTTGGATATTCTTCTTTTTCTCAGTCTGTGCTTTCTCTCTCTTTTCCACTTGGAAGTTTCTAATGACATATCCTTAAGCTCAGAAATTCTTTCCTCAGCTGTATCCAGTCTAATGAGCACATCAAAGGCATTCTTTATTTTTGTTACAGTGTTGTTGTTTTTTAATCCTCACCTGAGGACATGCTTAGAGAACTAAAGGGAGGGAGGGAGAGAAACATTAATCTGTTGCCTTCTATACATCCCCAACCAGGGATCGAACCTGAAACCCAGGTATGTGCCTGACCAGGAACAGAACTGGTAACCTTTCTGTGCACAGGACGACACTCAGCCGAGACACTCTGGCCGGGTTGTTACAGTGCTTTTAATCTCCAGCGTTTCCTCTGGTTCTTTGTTTAAAACCCATCTCTCTGCTTCTGCATCGTCCACATGTTCCTGCATGCAGACTGCTTTATCCATTAGCGCCCCTAACACATCCTCCTGGTTTGTAAGTTGACAGGCGGGTAATTCCAGCACCCCTGTCATATCGAAGTCTGGTTCGGAGGCTTGCTCTGACTTTTCAAACTGTTTTTTGCCTTGTAATTGTTGTTTTTTTTTTTTTTTTGATAGCCAGACATGATACACTTGGAAAAAAGAACTATGCTCAACAGGCCCTCAGTAATGGGGTGTCAGGTGTGAGGGGAGGGGTCCTCTAAGTGCTGCGATCAGTCCGCAGTCTCCGTGAGCCTGTGCCTCTGACTGTGACCTTCACCGCTTCCGAGCCCCTCATCAAGGGGAAGAATGACCAGAGCACACTGGGCTTCAGTGGGACTCTTCCCTCCCTCCACGTCAGCCACGCTCTGAAAAACATCCCTGCGGCTGAGGTTCCAGTACAGTTTGGGGGGCCCTGTGGAAGAGAACGTTCTGATGCTTTGCGGACGGTTCCTCTTCCTGCCACCTGATCGCCTGTGAGAACCGGCGAGGGGGAGCTCCTGCGGGTAAAGCTCACAAAGGCGGGGGGCCTCCCGATGACGAGTCCCCTGGAGCTGTTCACCCCCAGCCTGTCCACACGGAGTCTCGGGCAATTCCTCAGTGACAGCTGAGGTTTTCCACGGGGGTCTGGTCCCCACAGAGGTGTCTGCTGCTGGGTCCCTGCCGGGTCGGCCGTGATTCCCTGGGTCCGTCGGTCCGTCCGTCTCTCCAATGCTGGAGGCAACGTGCTTCCTCGCCTCTCCGAGGTCAGGGGAGCTGTGGCTCTTCAGTCTCGTCAGCTATTTGCTTGTTATTCGGAGGGAGCGACAAGTTCCAAACTCCGACACGCTGCACCTCAAGCCAGAGACAATCACTGAATTCTAACAAACTTTCCAAGATGATTCAGTGGGGAAGGCTAGTCTCTCCAACAACTGGGCCACTGAATCCCAGTCTTCTCCCACAGCACATACAAGATGAACCCAAACGGATCGCAGCTCTAATCTGGGACCTTTTATGGTGTATATTTTTAGATAGAACCTAAAATGTACAAACCATAAAATAAAAAGTTGATCATTTGGACTTCATTATAATACAACATGTCTGTTCTTCCAAAAATACTGTTAATGAAACGGAAAGACAAGCCGCAGACGAGGAAAGACATGTGTGCAACATGCATTTGATCAAAGACTTGTATCCAGAATATGCAAAAGACATATCTCAATAATGACAACAAACAATAAAATTAAAAAGTGGGCAACGTTCTAACAGATTTTCCCCAGCGACAAGCACAGAGAGCAAGCAGACCGCTCAGTGGTGGCTGTGACTGAGAAATGTAGCTGATCACAGAGTCAGATGCTCATACTGCTGGCAGGCTACTGTTGTTAAAAACTGACATGTGCTACAATCTGGAACACTCGGAGAGCTCACAGATTATGAGGGGCAAACTGGGCAGTTTCTTGTCAAGTTAAACGTAGACTTGCCATTCCATCCAGCAAGCCCACCCCAGGTATTCACTCCAGATACATGAAGACACACACCCACCCAGACACCTGTACACAAACGTTTATGGAAGTGTTAGTCACACTTTTCAAAAACTGGAAATAACCCCAGAAATACTAGTCAGCGATAAAAAAGAAACCACTGATCCAGGCAGGAGCATGGTGGGGTCTCAGCAACATTACGCTAAATGGAAGAAGTTAGACTGCATAAGTCCATGTGAAATTATAGGAAAGGCAAACTATGATGATAGAAAGACCAGAGGCTGCAGGAATCGGGGTGGGAGAGAACCTAGGACACTGTAACATGAAGAGAATTTGGGGTGGCAGACTGTTCTCTATCATGACCACGTACACCCATCAAAGCTCATCCGACTGTATAATGAACTAGTGAATGTACTGCATAAAGTTGATTTTTAGAAGTAGTAAGTGTCCGAATCAGACCAGTGGTGGCCCGAGACTGGGGCAGGCAGAAGACAGAGACTTCAGAGGACACAAGGGACGTCTGAGTCAGAGGACATGTTCTATAACTTGATGGTGGAGTTGACTGTATGACTACAAACACTTATCAAAACGTATCAAACTCTACATACCAAAAGTATATAGGCTACATCTAAATAAACCAGACTTTAAAAAATGAATGGAAAACAAACCAGTAACAAACAAGCAAACACTGAAACACAACTGGACAATGTGAGAAAGGTCCTTCCTGCAAGTAGAAGTCTGTGACCCCCACATTTTACACGCAGCTGTGAGCAAAGGCTACAGATAGAAAGAGGTCTCAAGGGCAAGGACCCAGAAATCACCTATCCAAGCACATTTCCCGAATGAGACACCTGGGGCCCTGTGACAGAATAAGGGAATGTGTTTCAAAAGAACGCAAGACACAAGTTTTAATTGTATGATTGTTCTACATGATGGTATAAATGTGTAACAAGCTGAACAATCACAGTATGAAAATTACCTTCCCGCATGCGGAAAAGGAGCCCCCCCACTCCCCCGCTTGTCTTTAATCTGAAAGAAAAGATGTCTTCGAAAGGGATGGAGGAGAGAGGGGGAGGATTCCGCCATCGATCGCCACCAATAACTACCGGGTTGGGCGATGATGCCGAATTCCTTCTCTCCCAAGAGGAATAAACTATTATGCTTTTGCCCCTGCCACTGACGAGTTTAATAAGACTGTAAGTCAATATTTTAACAGTTAGTTAAGAATGGCATATGATATTGAAAAACCCTTTAGAACATAGATTAAGTTTAGTTACTTTGTGCATGTAATTTCTATTTTATCCAAGAGATACCTATGGTTAAAACATTTAATGTGGGTGCCCCCAAAGTCAAGAGATCTCTATGCTATTAATGGATTGATTTTTTACAGAGCAGAGATGCCCTGAGGACATCAAGTGTGCTGCTGTTTCCTGACTGAGCCCACTCTCCTGACAGCCAGACAGCGAGGGGTCCTCCGCCCTCACACCTGCCCAGCGCCTGCTCCGGGGCCCGCGGTGCCTTCTGGCCGCTACCTCCCGGTCTTCACATAACATGCTGGTTTTAGTTCCTTATTTTTTAAAATTTCAGATAGTATTTGCTTGTTTTCCAATATGACAGACAGAACTAAGAGCTCCCAACACACACACACACACACGCGCACTTCACCCCTTCTTCCGTTATCAATAGAACTGTCATTCAAATCGTTACACCCACTGAATATGATGCACAGCTCAGCCATGCAGGTAAGTGAGCTACATTCCTTTTCTGATGCAATAAGGTAAGTTAATGCTTATCTTACTTTCATCACTTAGGCTCCCCTTGCTAATGGCAACATTTCAGCTTTTCCCATCTGGGTCAGCCTATTTTCATCTGTTTGCAGGTTCTCAAGTTTATCGCCGCCCCCGCCGCTCCTGTTCTCTGTTGGCCCACATAGCTTTATGCAAGTGTATCCCTGTACCTTCTTTTGAGTGGCATTTCAGAAGGAAGTGACGGGAAACCCACAGTCCCGCTGACCACTGTGTGTGGCAGAAGCCTTCCCAGTGTCATCACTGACCCTGATGGAGAGACACCTGCAGGGAGAGGCCCCCTCCCAGGCCTGCCACTCCTGATGCGCCAGGTTCCATTTCACTTACACCCGGAGCAACGCGTTCACCTGGGACAGCGGTGGATGTCATGAGGGCGAGGAGAAGGGAGAGGGCCCCTCCCCACACCTACCTTCACGGCGCTGAAGCAGAGCACGTGGAGCGCGGCGGCGGCGGCGGCACTCCGGGCCACGCTGCAGACGGCCGACGTCATCCCCGAGACGGCTGCAACACAAACAGCACAGTTGCTGCCAGACCGGCCATCCGCACGGCCAGCAAACCGTGAGAACGGCAGAGGCTGCGGCCTTCACACGGAAACGCCTGCTGACAGGGCCCCAGTCCGCACGCACAGGCGACAGACTGCCAGTGCAACAGAGACCCTGGCCCTTCAACCCCGGAGTCGGGGGCACTGACACAGAGCCCTGAGAACGTTCCTGGAAGACCCCGTGAACGGTCGGGTGGAGCAGGAGGCCTCCTCGCTTACGCCCGGGTAGTGAGGGAACAGAAGAAAGGGCAGAGACAGAGCGGGAGGGAGGGAGAGGGAGGAGGGGGGCAGTGACAGACACAGAACAAGCAGTGGCCCTGGGGGGTGATGACAGGTGGTGACATGACTGACGCCCGCTCTGCTCTGGTGCCTCACGGGCACGACTTCATTGCATCCTTGCAGCAGCCCTGAGATCCGCGTGTTCGCTTTTGTTTACAGAAGAGTCAGCTGTACAGTTAAGGAGTCTGCGAAGTCCCCACATGAGCGTGGGGCACAGTCCCCCACCGTGGTCTGAATCGCCACTGCCAGGCCGGGAGAGCCACAGTGATGATGGAGGGACACAGGCCACCTGTCTGCACAGGTACACACAGAACGGGCCATTGACATTCACAAGCTCCTGTTCACACACACTCCAGACACGGTTAAACACACATGCACACACACTTACATCCACTCATGCTCATTAACACAGGTTCTGGCGCGTGGTTTTGCCTTTGGCTGGTCAGAAGGGCCCCAAACCTATTCCAAAGCTCAGAGATTCTGTCTTCCCTGTTTCTTTGCCTGTCTTTGCTGAGCAGGGTGGACCCCCCTTCGATGTGGCCGAGTGAGTGCAGCCGGGCCCACCAGGCCCTGATGGGCCCAGCCTGGCGCGGTTCAGGTGCTCAGGACGAAGAGGAGCTACCTGCCCAGGCTCTCCTTGCAGCCCGAGGCTACTCTGCCTTCACCCGAACTTGAGAGCCCTGCACAGGAAGAGAAGAGTGTAGACTTACCTGAGCCTCCAAAAAACAGCATGTCGATTTGTTCCAAAAGGTAGATGCAGAAAGTGTTGATCTGCGGGAAGAGCCCCAGGAGGGAAATTGCAGGGAAGCAGTACAGAAACGCTGAAAGTGAGCAGACAGGGGTGACAGTGTGAAGGGGCGGTGCCGGGGTCCCCGATGAGTCCCCCTCGCCCACCACGGCCCACCCCACGCTGCCCAGGACACCAGAGGACAGTCCGTGGCAGTGACAGGGACTGCTCCCGAGGCAGAGGCCCGAGGAAAGGACACAAACGGGCCGGGGACGAGCAGAGGCCCCCCTGATGCTGGCACAGACGGGTCCTCAGTCCGCGACAGTGGACATGGACTCGAGGCGGGTGGGGGTGGGAGAAAGCAAACTGGGAAAATGACAGGATCATGCAAAACCCAAGGGTGGCGGGAAGGGATCGCTTCCGGACTGGTGGGGTGCAGCAGTCGGAAGCCAGGGGCTCCTGGCTTTGTGTGCCTGTCGCCCTGAGCACGCGAGTCACTGAGTCCTGAACTTTCTGAACGTTGACTGGGGACTCAGAGCTCCACCGCGACCCCTGACACCACGGGGAGCAGGGAGACTGGGAGACTCCACGCGCAGACAGTGGGGCCCTGGACGGACTGTTTCTCAGGTGGACCCGTCACCTGGGGCGGAAGGCGGCCCTGCCACTGCCCCAGACCTTGACAAGCAATCGGATAGAAAGTATATTTCGAAGTTTCACAGAGATTTGTTCAAGAAAATAAAATGGAGTCGAGCTGCATTTTATAGCGACTTCTCAGTTCTAATTGCACTGGGCGCAGAGTCACAGAAACTCGCATCAGTAATGCTCTAATACGTTTGTCTTCTCGCTGTCCATCGGGTAGAATGTCAATGAAGTTTGATACTGGCAATCCTTAATAAAACGAAGGAAACGTGATGTGAACCCAATATGCCTACATTGGAGCTGTGTCCTAACACCATGGTCAATGGGGGGGGGGGCTTCAGTTATTGCTGAAAATCAGAAATGCAAACTTTCCGTGGTGAGGTGGTAGGAACGAGAGATAACGGTGGGTGAGAGGCGAGCCTGGGACACATCCTCAGCCGCAGGGCGCAGGAACGGTCCGCCCCGTGCAAGTGAACTGTGAGCTGCGAACGTGGCTGTGACAAGGGCCTTCCCTGGGCAGTGGGGCCGTATTTTGACCCACATGGTGAATTTGTGGTAATGTTTTCTGTGGCAAGATGTGAACTACACTCGGGCCCTTTGACGACATGTTGGTCAGCAAAGGACCTCACACATGACAGTGGGGTACATCCAGCCCAAGCGTGTAGCAGCTGTATCTTGGGGACAGTGACATCACCTGAGGACACATTTCTCAGAGCGCATTCCTTCCTTAAGCTGCACCTCACTGCGCAGGGCAAAGTCGGGCTACAGTTGTCTGTATGGGAAATAACACAAGCATTCATAATAATACAAGGACAAACTCTGCTCTGTGTACGCACAACTGTAAGCCTACTTTTGCCCCCCCCGCATACTGTAAAAACCCAGAGCATGTGCGAATAACACACTTCTCGGTCAAAGTATTCTTTAGTGGGACACAAATATCAGTCCACGTGACGTAACTGTATAGGACACAATTTCTGTTTTCAATTTTGTGAATGGAGCTCAGCGATGTAAAAGGAAAGATACAGGAAACAGAAATTTAATTACAGAACTTACGATGAGCATTAAAAATGTAACCCATACACTGTCATGCTAATTGACTAGTCTGTCTTCTCTTAACTTGGGGACCAGAAGCCCAGCAGTGAAGACCGAGCGCTGGCCGGGGTGGGGGGGGAGGGAAGGCGTGATGAGATCTCATCTGTTCACCTTCTCAAGTGCTGTGTGTGATCGGAGAACTGTGGAAAGAAGTATGGGTGTGATACAATATTAAAGGCCGTGAAATACTGGACATTGTTTGGTAAAACAGGGTACAGAACGTTCTCTGTAAGAAACACATTAGGTGATGACCCCAAAGCAGCGAGGGGGGAAGCGGAACCCAATGACGGCGAGAGGAGAATAAAACGGTGAGAAACCAGGAGCCCTCGCTGAGGAGGACCTGGCTGTGCGTGGGGACCTGCTGAGACCGCAGAGCAAGGACAGTCACCAGGGCCCCGGACCAGGCTCCGGGATGGTAGAGGAGGACATCTCCAGCCTTGAACTTCCAAGCCCACCGGCGCAAGGAGAGGAGCGTGGAGCCCAGGTATCACATCCGCCGGGCCGCGGCTCATGGGAATGAGCGAGCGGCCAAAACCTGCAGCCATGGTGGGACAATCAGAACATTGCACTTGAAGGTGCTGAAATTATTTTGTCCTTTTTTCCAAAAGTAAAAAATAAAAAAGGCCCTGTGGTTGTTGGCAATGTTCCCTGTGAACAAAAACTTTTTTCTGAGCATATGGCTGAGAGGGTCTATGACTTTCCCTCACTTCTTCCCTACTTCTCATTTTTCCTAGTAATTACCATAAATGCAGCAACCTCTGGTATGGTTCCATTTCTTTCCCGGAAAATTTATAAATAAAAAGATTGGAACTTGCCTATTCCTTTGTAGAACGTGAACAGTAATATTCATTATTATGCTTGCAGCTTTGGGGGGAAGCGTGTAGAATTAAAGTAACGAAAACAAAACCCAAACCTGTGGGGTTGATGTGATGGTTACCCTGCGTGTCTCCAATGGCCTAGGTCTGTGTACGAGCTCAGTGCCCTGACGTCAACTACTGAGCCCCCAAAACGTCTTTAGACAAGACGGAAATGTGAGGTCTCAGTGTTCAAGGAGCGTACCCATCCCAGTAACTGTACAAAGCCCACTTCTCCCCAGGGATTCCATGATTGCAGCTGCATTATTGCAGGCAGGGCGTGACGGTCCTAAGGACTAAAACAAAAGTGACACTCCCATCTGAAGGGGAGCTCCAAGGCCACGGGACAAAGCCGAGCCAGCGCCCCACCGGTCTGAGAACCGATGGCTGGCCCATCTGGCCTGAACTCTTTCCACGTCAGGAAGTCCTTGCCTTGCTGGGCAACCAGGCTACCGCTGGACAGCTCTGATCCAAGCCAGGTTCCTGTCTTTCTTGCAGGGAGCTGTAATCCACCTGCCATTTGCTGGGACTGGTTATACACCTTGCCACAGAGAACGAACCCCTCGACCGTCCTTCTGCCTGGCAGCCTTTTAATGCTCTGAAGCCACCGTGTGGATCGGGGATCGCTAGCGCCCCAGCATTTCCTCTCTCCATGGACACCCCATTCCTTTGTCTTGTCTGCAGACCCTGGGCAGCCCATGCAGCCTCACGGCACACTAACTTTGCCCCTCCTTTTGAAATATGATACTAAGAAGACCTCTTGGCTTTCTCATCCGGAGGATAATTACAAAGACAGTCTCGCTCTAGGCTTTTTCTGAAGTTACCCAAATGGAAAGTAATAGAATTTGAGCCCAGAGGTCTCTGAGCACAGGAAATGAGTGCTGACGACGAAGCCTCCACCTCCCCCCTGGAAGGAAAGACAGAGAATGTTTCCACAAAGACAGAGGAGTGCGGTGATTCTAGATACACATGAGGAACCATGAAAGAAGACGAAATTGTGGAAGAACACTTCCCACAGGGATCCTGTTTCCTTAATTCGCTGCCCCGCCCATGAAGGTGCCTTGTCCCTGCTCCTCACCGTCTTCTCCTGCCCATTTCGGCCCCACACTCCTTGCTAGCGGCCCCGTCCTGTCCTTCTCATGTTGTTCTTTATCTCATGTCCTTCGGCCTCCAAGAGGCCCTCGTGCATTGTCTATGAGGAGAGCTTCTGCACCTGCCCACCTGCTCCCCACCTCCTGCCCAGCTGGCACCCCGCACTCCCTGCCCTCTTCCCCCGCCGCCCCGCCGCTAGGTGGGTGTGCTGAGCAGACACCAAGGGCAGCGGTAACAGAAAGCTCACCTACAGGCAGGAAAGGGGGTCCCCAACATGTGTAATCTGACCAGCAGCTCTGTCTACTCCAGCTCGGACCCCTCACTGCAGCTATCTCAGCAGCAAGATGGGTCAGCTAATCCATGAGAATGTAAACGTGACTGAGGGTCTTTCTTGGGGTGTGTGTGTGTGTGTGTGAGTGTGTGTGTGTGTTCCAACCAACAGAACTTCACGTAGTATAAAAAGGTGCAGTGAAAGGTATCAGGCAGGGCAGACGCGAACATTCTCGAGCCAAAGGCGCTGCCTGGGAGTCTAACCATGGTCAGTGCCTGCCTCTCCCCACATGTTTCTGTTTCCCGTGTGAGCGCAGAGATTCTCTGAACCCCGGCGCCTACCCTGTGGGCTGAGGAAGCTGCTGAGCGCCTCACGGGATGTGCTAGGAAGCGAGGTGTTGAGGATGCGGACAGGTGGGCTGGGGAGGGTGGAGGAAGGGGAGCGAGGATGTTGCCACCGGCGCAGCAGGAACGGAGCCGGTGCTTGGGAAGGAGAAGATTCTCGCTGCAGTTTCCACCTACCAGGCGCTCAGAGGAACGTGCGCCGTCCCCAGGGCCCTCCAGCCCCACCGCAGGGACCGGGAGTTGGCGAGGGGGCTGAGGAAGGTTCGCACGGGACCCGCCGCTTTCACATCTCCTCTGAGCGAGATGTCCGGCTGGGGCCACTGTGGCAGTGCCCGTCCCAGCCCGCTCGGCCAGGGTGACAGGCTAGCACATGCAGCTCTGAGGTCACCCCCGCAACTCTGCGCGGCCCGCACGGATGGGGCTCTGCACACACGACGAGAGGACGAAGCCAGCGCCAGGCACTGTGCCGTGTTACACATGCTAACCATCTGAAACCTGCCACAGCATCTGAAGTGGCACTGTTTTGTCCCCGCTTGCAGTCGAATTCTGCTCCAGGCCACACAGCCAGCACAGTGGCAGGGCCCGAGTTCACAGCCTGCTCTGGCTCGAGTCAGGCCCCAACCTCCCAACCTGCAGGCCCGTGTAGGCGGGCGGTTCACATCCAACTCCGCCCAGGCCGACGGCCAGCCAGTGCCCCAGCGAAAGGCGAGTGACCAGCCTGTCCAGGACTCTGCCTGGGCTGAGAACCATGTCCACTCGGAGGTTAACAAGTATCTGTGCCACGTGGACGGGGCTGTGGCTGCCACCAGATGCCACCCCCACCCCCCGGGAAGCCCCACTGACGCCAGGCACCGCAGTGGCCAGCCTGCAGATGTCACAGTGCTGTAACTTCTGGTCACAGGTGTCAAAACCCTTTAGGATAACCTTGTACTGGATGCGCGGGGGCTGTGATACCCGGACAGTCTCCCGAAGGGGTCCTAGCAAACAGGGACATGCGCCTCTCTCCTCCAGGACCCAAGCAGGGCAGCTCCCCAGTTACAGAGCCACAGCTAAGGGAAGACAGACCTCTCGCCTCCGCAGTCCTGCCCAGCCCCCACAATGAGCTCACCTAGCAGGACGTCCCTCGCGGACCGGAGCGACCCTGGAGAGAAGAGCTTCAGGCCGTACACAGCGTAAGTGGGGGCGCGCCTGGCCGTGGCCCCTGTGTCAAGAAGCAGAACAAGGCCACACAGCACACAGAAGTAGATTGGTCTGCTGTACGCAATGATTTGGTTGTGTCCCTAGAAAACAAACACAGTTTCTAAATGGTACCTTTTATTTTAAATGACAAAATCCTCCTAGTCAGTAATGTATACCATATAAGACAACGTACACCATACATTCATTCTTTCCTCTTCCCCACTGTAATTCAATCCACAGAACACTGGGGGAAAAAACAACTGCTCTTATTCTGTCAAATAAGAATATCAGAAAGAATGTTCTACCTCTCAGACTTAACAGATCTACCTGAAATTGTAAGTACCATCTTTGGACACAATCTGGATTCGATCCAGTGATTTCCCAGCAGGGAAACGTCCATCTGCATTGTTCTTCATGCGCAGAACTAGTTTAAGCCGCTATTTGCTCTCCGTGGTCTAAACTGAGCTTCAGTATGAATGAGAAATAGGGTTGTGAGCCGTGGCCTTCCGGTCCCTGTGTCCCTGAAGGCAGGTCACCCCTGCAGAGGTCGCATACAGTGTCCTAGGGAAGCAACAACACGGTTTTATAAACTTCTCTTTATACATCTTCCTCTGTGGAGGGCCCAAAGCTTAACACGCCTCATCTTAGCCTCAAAACGTCGTTATGAGAAGTAGAAAGAGTTTTTATTCGTCTCCTCGGAAGGACAGAAAAATGTATGAACTTTCCAGGGCAAAAGCCAAGGCGGAACTCACATCTCGCAAACCAAGGCACAATCCCTCAGGTCAGGAGAAATGAGCTGGGGGGAATATCCTCCGCACCCCATGAACTACTCTGTGTGTAAAAAAGTAAAGATTAAAGGGAGACGGTTTCAGATGTGAATTTTTAGTCACCGCCTTGAATGTGTTATATTTAGAAATGCAATTTAATGCCGCTGCTTCTGTGATAGAAACAGCCCTATTCCGAGACCGTCTTTTAATAGGAAGGAACAGGCTGTCCACGGGGGCCGGCGGTGCTGGGCCCTGAGTCCAGCCTCCGTCTTCACGGAATATTTGCACTCTTATGAAATTTCCTTTTGAATCCAAGTAGGTCATAGATTAATGGGTATGGGAATACTTTCTCTGCATTAAAGAATGGAAACGAAAGCCCGAGTTAAATCTTAGTGCATTTCTTATCAAGTGAAGAGCACAGCGAGGTGGTTGGCACAGAAAGCTACTCATACACAGATACACACGCGCATGAGGATTTTCTCAAATTGACACCGTTGCCGAAACAGAATTAAATAGCTACCTCCCTCTTGTCCGGATTCTTCCTTTTACTAAAAGGTTAAAAATAGACTTTCTAGGAACTGAAACTCTTTGGCCTTGAACAAGCTGAGGTATCATCTTGAATCTGCCAAGTCGCACTTTATTTATTGGGTGTGGGAACATTTTCTTCGTCTTGGTAATTTATGAGACAAAACCCGAGGCTCCCTTAGAAAGCCTGCCCTCCCCACACTTGCACCTCAGCTCACTTCCCGCACACACTTAGGGTCCCCAAACAACTCCAAGAGTATTGCTAATACAATTCCAAGAGTATCACCTTTATCTGCCTCGGTTCCTGAGAGCATCGACTAATAAAATTTCCCTGCTCTCCGGTTCCTTCCTTCACAGATGAACCAATCATCGAAAGCCCCCAAGATTGATTGTATTCTTTCAATAGAAAAATTCCACTCAGTCTTCCAGGTGAAGTCCAATCACAATCTTTTAAAACGTTTCCAACTATTTCCCACCTGTTTTTAACCTTAAAATACACTGGGGGCCCCACCAGTTTCAGCGGGGGGCGGGGTGGGGGCTTGGAGGCTGCTTCCCGGGCTGGGCCAGTGCGCTCGGGTTTCCGTCACCCTGGCACGTTGACAGTTTCCGGCCCAGGCTGGGTGAGCTGAGGGACGCCAGCGAACCCTCCGGAACCCCCTGTGGAGGGCGGGGGCTTGTGGCTGAGAGGCAGGCCCTTCTCATTATCCTCTTCTCAGGAGAGCGGGCTGGTCAGATGCTTCAGATTTGTTAAGAAAAAATATGGCAATAACGAGAGCACTTTACAGGACCCAGGGGCTGGGGTGCAGGGGCCTCGGGCCTCGTGCCCTAGGAGCAGGCTTTCTGCAGCCTGGCTTCCTGCTGCCTCTGTCCTCAGGGCTTCCAAGGGCTGCCTCTCACCAACCCAGTGCGCATGTTCCCGCCCCACATCACAGGTCCAGCTATTTTTTATTTTTATATTTTATTTTTTATCCTCACCCGAGGACATTTTTCATTTTTTGTTCAGATAGAGTGGGAGGGAGAGAGAGAGGAAGAGAGAGAGAGAAACATCAATGTAAAAGGGACACATCGAGTGGCTGCCACCCGCACGACCAACCAGGGCCGGGGACAAACTGCAACTGAGGTACATGCCCTTAGCGGGAACCAAACCTGGGTCTCTCTGGACCACGGGCCGACACTCTACTGCTGAGCCAAACTGGCTAGGGCTATTTTTATTTTGTTAATCCTCACTGGAAGATATTTTTTCCCACTGATTTTTAGAGAGTGTGGAAGGGAGGGAGAGGGGTGGGCAAGAGAGAGATATATAGAGAGAAACATTGATGTGAGAGAGACACATCGATTGGTTGCCTCCTGCACCAGCCCCAACTGGGGTGGCAATCGAACCTGCAACCCAGGTACAAGCCCTTGACTGGGAATCGATCCTGAGACCCGTCGGTGCACAGGCGGACTCTAGCCACAGAACCACATGGGCCAGGGCCGGCTGTGTGACGGGGGTTATGAAATAGCTCACATTTAACCAGCCCCTCCCACGCTCTGCCTTCTTTAAATGGATCACTCATCTAACCCTCAGTGCTCTAAGAACTGCATCCCATTGTTCTCACCTTGTCCTGAGCAAGCGGAGGCATACGGATGGAGAAATTTGCCCCCAGCAGCCCTGGCCAGGTGCTCAGCTGGTTAGAGCGTTGTCCTGATACACCAAGGCCGCAGGTTTGATTGCTGGTCAGGGCACAGGCAAGAATCAACCAGTGAGTGCGTGAGTAAGTGGGACAACAAATGGATGTTTCTGTCTCTCTCTCAAATCAATAAATAGAAAAAAATAACTAAAAAAAGTTTGCCCACAGACAGAACATTATATAGCCCAAGGACCTGGGCCTGGCGGCTGGGCGGCCTGGCCTCCTGACCTCCTGACCTCCAGGCACTGGCCGCAGCGACCACCAGGGAGATGACAGCATTTTCAGCTGATCCCCCAGGTGAGGGCTCAGCCTGACCTCACCGAGTCTCACTCCTGATCACCACTCTTTAAACACTAGTGTGAGTGTTGCTCAAGCAAAGCAAACACAGGGGGGGGGGGGCACTGGTAAGAGCTGTGAGGTGCTGACTTCCCTGAAAGGACTCTGGAGGCCCCTGCTCTGTCCAGGCCCCGCTGCGACACTGTTCACCGCCACGAACACTCATCACTATAAAGCTGTGCTGTTCTTAGTTTCTTACGATGGTGCAGGTTAGTTTGCTTTAATGTCACTTCTCGGTGGCTGTTGGTGAGTTCACCTGTCTGTCTATTTAGAGTGGTCCTGAACTCTGCACTGCACGCTTTGGTTCCCCTTGTGTGTGGACTGAAAGGAGGGCGCCCTGTGTCCTACAGAAAGCTGAGCCCCAGCTAAACCCCAGCCAGCAACTATTCGTGACTCACACTCGGTGCCCGTCGGAAAGTCCACGACATCGGAGAAAACAGCACAGCGGCTGGCAGCAACCAAAGGGTCGAATCGTTCTCAGCGGGAGACTAGTAGGATGCTACTTCCCAATGTCAACGTGGTAGAAATTTGATAAATTAGTTTAAAAATGGAAAAGACACAGGCAAACAAGTTTCTATAAGCTTAGTTTATAATTTAATTTCACAGAACAACCTATGTTAGGTCTAACTTCCTAATTTTCAGGTGTGTGAACTGTGGCAAAGGGGCAGGTGCTGAGGTCCCACCAAGGGGCATCGGAACGAACACCAAGTACCCCTCCGAGCGATGTCCAGGGCGCGGTCCACACTGCCTTTCACATCTTCCCACCCAGCATCGGCATCTCCCTCACTGGCGGTGAAGGACACGGGAAGGGCAGGGACCCACGTTCTGTCCCTTTTTAATGGTAGAAATTTAGTACATGAATCAAAAGCCAATTTGGGCCTGGCCTGGGTGGCTCAGTGGACTGAGCATTGTTCTATGGACTGAGAGGTCCCAGTTCGATTCCCAGTCGGGGTACATGGCCGGGTTGCGGGCTCCATCCCCAGTAGGGGACATGCAGGAGGAAGCTGATCTGTGTTTCTCTCTCACCTTGATGTTTCTACCTCTCGCTCTAAAAAAGTCAATAAAACATATTTTTAAAAATTTTAAGGCATGTGGAATGGCTCATGCTTTAAAGAGTACTTTTTTGAGCCCAGTAAATATACAACTAAACAGATAAGTACTGTTTAACTTTTAAGATCCACTCGAACTAAGTTGACCACCGTATTTCTAGGACTGAGGATTAAGGAATTATTTTATTTCATTCAAAATCATTCTGATAAATACGACTGTTCGGTAAATGGGAACACGGGCTCCTTCTCCTGCTCCAGCTCCCCTCCCACCCTGTGGGAATAGAGCAAAGGACACCTGTGAGCGGACGTGAGACCCTGGGAACCTGGCGGGAAGAAAGGCCGAAGAGAAGCTGGTTCTCGGGGTGAGCCTGACGGTAAGCAGCTAGAGCGTCCATCTCCAGCCCGGGGCCGGCCCCGCCCTGCGTGCCCTGTTTTCTGTCCTCTGTGAACCTTGAGCTGGGAAAGTCTAGGTGGCAGCGAGACAGCAGGTGGCTGGCTGGGCCCAGGGCGGCCTGCCCAGAGCCAGAGAGGACCTAGCGGCGCAGCTTCACCGGTGGCAGCGGCATGCGTGGTGGCGCACTTCGCCAACCCGCGCCACCCGCACGCCCTCCTGATAGACCCGCATCTGTCGCAGCCAGGCCTCCAGCTCCTCCCTGTGGGGATCCAAGAACAATACCCTGAGGTTTTCTGGGACTTCGGCACTTCGCATCACAACTACCTTACCCAGGTGATCACGGTGGACACGCACAGGGTTAAGTCATGCCCGAAGTCCCTGCCCTCCGTACGATGTGATGCCCAGCGCTCTTTACCGCGGTCTTCCTCCCCGTCCACAGCCCCAGCCTGACCATGACATACGCATCAGAGAAGTCCCAGCGGAGGGGCAAGCACAGACTCCCTGTCCGACACTCTTCAAAACGGCAAGATCAGAAACAAGGGAAGTCTGAGGAATCACAGCCAGGCCGAGCCTCAGGTGACATGACGACCGAGGTAATGTGGTGTCCTGGGTGGAACCCCAGACAGAACACTGTTGGGTGAAACTAAGGAGCTCTGAGTAAAATATGGGCTTTATTTAGTTAGCAGTAATGCATTTCGGCCGAGCCAAATGCAGCACCCAGGCTAAGGGTCAGTACGAGGGAACAGGGCTCGGGGTATGTGAGCATTCTCTGCACGTCTTCCCAATCACTCTGTAAATCTAAAGCTGTTCTAAAACAAAACGTTTATTCACAAAAATCGCCCCCAGAGATCTGCGCACAGCCCGCAGTGGTACCGAACGTGTGGCGGCGGCCACCGCTCCCCGCACCGCGGGCGAGGAACCGCGGCGGGAGGCCAGCGTGACGCCGAGGGTGAAAACGTTCCCGGAGGACTTGGTATGTCCCGGCTGCCCTGGGCACAGCATGCACACTGTCCAAGGCCTCTGTAAAGTCCCACTGAGGCTGCTATTATTATCCATATGTTGTTCACTCTCCTTACATCCTGTTTTATTATTTCCTCGTTTAAAGATGAAAAACCTGAGATTCAGACAAGGAACTTGCCCAAGATCCCAGAGTCTGTACAAGGCTGGATTCGAATCCCCAAACTTGTGTGCCTCTAGGTAGCCCCATGTTTCTCTGGTGTGTTCTGAGATGGCCTCACCTGGGGGTGTTATGCAGGCTCCCAGGTGCTGCCCCAGCGCCCAGACTCCGAGTCCCTGCAGGTGCTGGGCATGGCCCCCCACTCGGCTCCAAGCCGGATCCCAGGGTTTTGGTGCCTCACAGACACCCTCCTGCATTCTGTTTTCTGGGCTGTTTAGCGGTCTGGTGGGTAGACCTGTGTGTGACCCTGTGTGCCCCACATCCTCAGAGCCTTCTCTGTCCCCGTCTCAGACCCACAGCTTGCTTCCAGAACCTACCCAGCCCCCCATTTTTTAAGCTCTCTAGAGCTGTTTTCTTTTTACTATCAGATGCATTTCTTTCAGGCTGAGTCCTTTATACCATATCCAGGAGCCTGCCATTACTAATTCCACATCTCTATCGGAAATATACAGTGTTAAAATTTTTATTTTTATTTTATCTTCTGGTTTTAACAATTTGCTCAAATTTTGTCACCTGTGTGTTCCTGGAAGGAAACAAGAAAAGTCAGCCGACCACTCACTCTAAGAGCAAGAATCGACTGACTTTATGAATAGCCCCGCCCCCAGCGTACACAGCAGTGTTGTCGGGAAAGTGCTCTGTTCCCCTGACAGCCGCTGAGCCAGGCTGGAGAGGGCGGGCCTGGAGAACCATCTCTGCCCAGATTGGATCTCTCTCCTGACAATCTCCTTCCTAGATGTCTCATCTATACACTGGAGACGGTGAGCCAGCCTTCCGGATGCCTGCGCACTCCGTCCCTCCATCCGAGGGCGAGGGAAACGCCTTATAGCCTCCACCCTTGCCTTCCTCCCAGAGCCATTAGAGAAACACCAGCTCAGACCAGGGCCGCATCTGCTGGGAAGCTGTGTAAGAGACTGACGACTGCCACGGACAGAGCGGGAGGCTGCGGGAGGCCGGTGGTGGTGGTGGAGGAGGAAGTCCCCTCACTACCCCACTCGGACATGCTTGCTCAGGTAGAAGAACAGCACCTTGGTCTCGTGCTCTGGGAAGCAGATCGGCACAGACAGCATACGCCGACGAAGAGCGGCGACACAGGGGACCTGCTAACGGGATCCCTACCCCGCAGGCTTGCACAGCGGCACCCCCACCCACGGGCACTAGCATTCTCTGTACCACTCCTGAAAACACACACCGAAAATGAATGTTTCATAGCGTATGACACCCCTCCCCAAGTCACCCAGCAAACAGGGCCACTGAGGGGCATCGCTAGAGAGGGGTGTGTGTTTCTGGGGCAGGAAGCGATGCTGCGGCGTCAGGTGGGCTGGAACCAACCCCGCAGAGCCCGCGTCTCCACTAGCCCGCAGCCAGCTTGCTGCCGATAATCACAACAATACATCTTCATACCCTAATTATGCAGCTCCTACTTATCTTGACAGTCAGACTCCGGGATAAAAGAATAGGTATTGTATGTAAACCAATTATGGGAACAGAGAAATTTAACAAGATAGCAACCTGTGCCATGTGATCATCCAATTATAAGCTTCTCTTAATTACCATGAACTAAACACGAGCGCTCACAGATGTAAAAGCAGCCCCAAATCCTGAAGACGAATTTTTTAAAAGCGCAATTGAGGGAAGGTCAGACTTTCTTTCATTGGAAGGGTTTGGGGGGCCCGCAGGAGCTCACCTTAAAGGAAAGGAGGGCTCTCAAAGAGCTGGGCAGTCCAGCAGGTGACGGTCTCAGGGTGAAGGCGTGTGACCCGGCCCCCTGTCCCCCAGGACCCGCAGGGAAGGAGCAGCGGGCCGGCGAAATGGGGGGCCCAGAACTCATGGGAGGTGTCAGAGCACCGGCACATCAGTGCTGCTGAGCCCAGTCTGTTACAAAGTAGTCAGTTATGGGGAGAAGAGGTAACAATACTCTTGAAGATGTAAACAGGAAGAGAATGTCAACAGACTGATGTATAATTTCGTATATGATCAATGACAGCCACCATTTATTAAACAATTTCTGTGCCAGGTACTGCTTTAAGCACATTACATGAATTAGGTAATCCCCATAGGCACTTTTCTTTCCTTATTTACACGAAGGGAAACTGAGGCGTGGAGCGCCCACACCTCGCGGACGACCCAGGAGATAAGCAGGGTGGTTGTGTGCAGCGTCTGCAGCCTCGCCCACCAGGCTGCACGGTCTTCCTGCTGCGAACCCAGTGGGACAGAAACACCCTCCACGCCGTGGGCCCCCACGCTGTACGCCCCCGCCCCCGCTGTCCACGCCCTGCTCTCAGACCCAGCCTGAACTTGCCCAGCATGCATTACTATTGCTAGTTAATGTTGCTATTTATATATTCAATATATATTGACATCGACTTTCCTTCTGAATAGATTTTGGCCATTCTCCTATCTCCAACACAAGCAGACAGAACAAGCTACTGGTCTACTTGGAAACTTACGTGTATCGGCGAGGCGGGGTCGGGCTGAACGCTCTAGAACACAAATCAGAGTATGTGTCATTACCTCATGGTTTCGAGGATAACCATGGTAAGAATTAGATGTGGTCTTGCCTTGAGCAGGGAATACTGGCAGCTGGCCATGACAAGGCAGAAGAGGAGCACCCACAGGTCTTTGCAAAAGCCCCGGCTCAGCGTCAGAAACCCCAGCAGGGACACCAGGATGATGAGTGAGACGGCCAGCACGTTCTCCTTCACATCTTCAGTTCTGTGCAAAGCAGAAGACACAAAGGAAGCACAGGTGAGTGTGTCTGTGTAGCAGGAGCAGGACAGCCTGCGTGTCTCTAAGCAGACCGACCTCCACACAGAGGACTGAGTCACCCCTGCATGTCTCTGTACTCGGTGACCAGACTGTGAGTTTCTTTCTTCTTTCTTTCTTTCTTTCTTTCTTTCTTTCTTTCTTTCTTTCTTTCTTTCTTTCTTTCTTTCTTCTTCCTTCCTTCCTTCCTTCCTTCCTTCCTTCCTTCCTTCCTTCCTTCCTTTCTTCCTTCCTTCCTTCCTTCCTCCCCTCCTTTCTCCTATGTTTTACAACAAGAATTTAACCCCAGATTTCCGTTATTGAAATAAATGGAATGCAATCCCGCTGGGCCTCCTTGGCCACCAAAGTGGGCTTACTGGGGGAAAGCAGTTGGCTGCTCCATCCCCAGCAGGGAAATGCACTTCAGGTAAACGGGGCGGACGCACTGACACCTGGCTGAAGCCCATTTCGTTGCACATGCAACCTCTGTAGCCAGAACTCGGTGCCGGTTCCAGGAGTCTGCGAACTCCAGCCCAAAGCCCCAGTGCAGAGGGCTGACAGGCACGTGTCCTGACAGTCTCACTGGCTGGGTGTCTGGGGGAATCGGAAACAGAGGCGGGGTAGAGAGGCGGGCTCGTCCAGGGTGGGTGCTGTCAGTGGGTGTGCAGAGGGACAAGGGAGTTCTAGGCTGTTGATACAAAGGGGCCAGGACTGGCTCACGGAGCCCACGGGATGGGCAGGGCTGCTCCATGGGAGGAAGTGGGCGGGTCAAAGTGCTGGAGGGGGCTGGGAACATCTCAGGGAGTCAGGGGGCACAGGAGGGATGAGCAGAGGCTGGGCTTCTGCTTCAGAGATGGAAGACATCTGTGGGAGGACCAGAGCAGGAGGAGGGAGGGCAGGGAGTGGTCAGGAGGGCGCACCGCTCGTTCACCAGAATCCTGGGCATATTTCTTACCTCGCCAATTTCTGCTCATGTACCATTGGTCTCTCCCATAAAGTGAGACCATTTTTAGACAGGGACAATCGGCTGCTTCACTCCTGGGGTGTAGGCACTAATATCATCTTTTAAAATTCATAGACTTCAGTTTTAGATTCACAGCAAAATTAAAGAGAAAGTACAAAGAGTTCCCAGAAAGTCCCTTCCAACACACATCACTTCCCCCACCAACACCAGCTACTCCAGCTTTCAATAATTCCTTTATAAAAATGAATATTTCAAAAAATGCCTCATCTAAAAAAATGTATTATCTTGGATTATTTTAGTTAAGTATGAAATGCTCATCTTAAGTGCCCCTCGGGTAACATAGTGTTGTTAGAAAAGCCATTATAACTCCATTCCTTGACTTATAGATCCTGAAATTTACTGCTGTAATTTTGCATGACTATAGACTTTTAGCATGTGACCACACCATTTAAGACATCACTATAACAAGCAGTCACGGGGGGCCGACCACAGTGAGGCGGGCAGCCGGCCTTCCCGCTGCCCGGGGCTGGCATCTCACTGGGGACCGGCATCTGCTGAGGACAGCAGCACCTGGAATGTGCAAAGCAGGACGCAGTCAGGATGACACACCCCTGTCCTTTGTCTCTCTTGAGGTGGGGAAGGAGAAGGAAGGTCCCCTACCCTGTCTCCACCATGCCTTCCTCAAGCAACTTGACCCCCCTCGCCCTTCCACCCAGTGGGCACACCTCCAACCCACGACGTTTGATCGTTTGATCTCGAGGAGCAGTGGTCAGAGGTGAGGGAGAGTGAAGGGTTTAAAGGAAAGGTGACCATTCCACTCAGTGTACATCAGACAGGAGTGGGAGCAGCAGCCCAGCTGTCAAAGGGAAGAGCCAGAGATCACTCCGGTTCCTCTCCCCATGCCCAGGCCCATGCCCAGGCAGGCCAGTCCCTGTGCCACAGGGGGAGCAGACCAATGCAAAATGTTGTCTCCAAAGCTGACCTGAAATCTGCACCATGTACCGAATCCTCATTCCTCCCATTTTAATCGCTAAATTCCCATTCCTTCAGTCGCGGACCTCACTGCTTCGGCCGAGGTTCGCAGCACCAATGCGGACACCTTGGAGACGTTCCGGAACCTCAGCCAGCGGCCTCTCCCTCGGACAAGCACGCGCGTGCGCACGGCTGCGCCCCATCTGTCCTCCCTCGCACACCTGCGGGCTCAGCGGCTTACCGATCAAGTAACGCCAGCAAGGTGAGGCGATCGTACCAGACTTTAATCCACTTGCCCGGGAAGATGATAAACTTGTAAAACTGATCGCGGTTAAACTTCCCTTGTGTTGAAGATCGCGAGTCATCCAGGTCCTGACTGAGATGCTGTCAGAGCCCAAAAGAAGCGAGAGAGAGGGTTTCACACGGACACGCTGTCCCATAAACACAGCTCACGGTTTAAAGTACAAAAAGCAGATGTTCAAGTTCTGAAACGTAAACTAACATATTTCATAAAAATGGGTACTCAAAGAAAAGGATAAAGATCAACAAAACGACTCTTTCTCTACCATTGAAACTGTGCTGCTCACCACACCACGGCACTACGATTAATCAAGGCCAAGAAACGGCCATCAGAATTTGACAACAGATCTTAAATGACTCAATTTGTGAAAGGCATGTTATTTAATATAATGTTAAGATAAACTTTCAAATTTTACTGAGTAAAAAGATTTTTATTGCTAACATGTAGCTCATTCGTGAGGCCTAAGATAAGTAAAACTGGAATACTCAGAGAAAACATCTAAACCAATAAAACAGAGACAGGTGGGGAACTTTAGGCCCAGATTTAAAATGTTTTAACCCCAAATTCACCTGTGATTGGTTCTAGTCCAGTGGACAAGGACTGAATTTTGAACAAAAAATTAGGTTCATCGATTTGGCTAACACACACTCAAGGAGTGACTCCGGAGGCTGGCACGAGACTGGGGACAGGAAGAGAAGGACCAGTGGGCTCAGGCCCTGGCATCCCTCTGCGGGAGAACATCCGGAGACACCGTGATGGTCACGCAGACTCAGAACCACTGATGGCAGGCCAGGGCCTCGCTGGGCTTCCCGAACGAGAGCCCGACTCCACGCCTCGAAAGCGAGGGGACGGGGACCTCAGTGAGGCTAAGGGACCAGCAAGTGGAGGGACAGGAAGGACAGAGAGGAGGAAAGGAAAGAGGGAGAAAACCAAACTTACTCCTTCCAACACCTGACACTTAGTTAAAGCAGAATTAGTTCAAACAGCCTGTTATGGCATTTCCAGAGACTATACGTGCAATTAAATATCAATGAATAGTTACCGCAGTTATTCATTATCGATGAGGAATAACATGTTTTGTACTGCTAAATTTCTCAGGAAACTAAAGAGTATCCTCTCTCATTCTAATGTATTTAATATTGACTTCTGTCATAGCCATCTTCAAAAAAGGTGCTCTTAACTGCGGTCTGCAGAGTGCACTTGACTGCGTCTTTCCTGCCAGGCACAGGTTTCTGTGTTCGTCTGAGAGCCAGGGACTCGGGGGCTCCCTCCACTGAATAGCACTAAGGGACATGCTTTTAAAGATATACACTTTTATTATATACTTTATTATTATATACTTTATTATTGCATATTACATTTGTATATATGCAAATACATACCTTCAAAATGTGTGTGAGGTGTAAGAACCACAATTCCATAATGGGATATCCATGTAATGGAATACTATACAACAGTGCAAATGGATGTTCCCGTTATAAAACAGCATGTACGAGTCTATGCCACCCAGCATGACTACCTGAGTGGCCATCGCCCAGACTAAGGAAGAGAGAGTCTCCCTGGGCAGAGCAGTGCCCTGTGGGGCACCCGACATCCAGTCCTCTTTCCTCCTCCTTCAGAGATCACAGTTGTCCTCAATCTTGTGTTCATCATTCCCTTTCTTTTCTTGTTTTACTACAATTCCATTCAAAACTTCTGTATTGTTTAGTTTTATAATTTTGAACTTCATAGATATGAAATCACAGCGTATGACTAATTTTAAAACTTGCTTTTTGCTTCTTTTCCTTCAAGCTGCATTATGTTCCTGAGACTTGTGCATTCTGTTTTATAACTGGAACATCTATTTGCATGGTTGTATAGTATTCCATTACATGGATATGCCATTATTTACTTATCCATTTTACTGTTAAATATTTAGGGTGTATTTTTTCTTTTTCTTTTCTTTATCGATTTTGCTATCACACTGCTATGAACATTCTTGGACAAGTCTCCTTGTAGGTAGGTGCAAGGATTTATTTAGAACATACACCTACAGATGGAATTGCTGGGAATGCAAATGTTCAACTGTATCAGAGGCTCAACTTGACTAAGAAACAAACTGTGTGCCCTGGCCGGTTTGGCTCAGCGGTTAGAGCGTCCGCCTGCAGTCAAGAGAGACCCGGGTTCGGTTCCCGCTAAGGGCACGTACCTTGGTTGCAGTTTGTCCCCGGCCCTGGTTGGTCGTGCGGGTGGCAGCCACTCGATGTGTCCCTTTCACATCGATGTTTCCATCTCTCTCTCTTCCTCCTCTCTCTCCTTCCCACTCTGTACAAAAAATGGAAAAATGTCCTCGGATGAGGATTAAAAAAAAAAAAAAAAAAAAAGAGGAAACAAATTGTGCGATTTTTCCAGGAGATACACACATGTGCCATGAATTACTGGTTATGGAAATGCTCACTTTACTAGAAAACACTTTTTAAAAATAAGTGTTTTGAAGTGATTCTGGCAGCTTGCACTTCACCAGCAGCATTTCAAAGCTGCATGACCCCACGGCTTCGCCAGCATCTGACAGGGGAAGTGATTCTAGTGTCGCTAACTTGGTGAGTATAAGGGGACAGTTCATTTTTGTTGTAATTTGCATTTCCCTCACTATTAACAAAGTTGAGCGTCTCAGCCCATATTTAGTTTTTCTTCATGAAATCATTTGCCCTTTTCTCTATTGGGTCCCTTTTTGTCTTTCATCAGCTTCAACATGTGTGTGTGTGTATACACATGGATGTGTATGTGTGCATGTGTGCGTCCACATGTATGTGTTTACATGATGAAAACCTTTATTAATGATATGAATTACAGATATTTTCCCAGTTTACGGCTTGTCTTTTTCACTTTCTCAAGAATCTCTGATTACTGCCCTGGCCGGTCTGGCTCAGTGGTTAGAGCGTCGGCCTGCGGACCAATGAGTCTCGGGTTCGATTGCAGTCAGGGGCACGTACTTCAGTTGCCATTCATCCCCGGCTCTGGTTGGGGTCGTGTGGGAGGCAGCCACTCGAAGTGTCCCTTTCACGTCTATGTTTCTCTCTCTCTCTCTCTCTTCCTCTCCCTCCCACTCTATCTGAACAAAGGTGGAAAAATGTCCTCGGGTGAGGATAAAAAACACAAAAAAAAGAATCTCTGATTGCTTAATATATAAGGCATAATAAATTAATAAAAATCCAGATATTTTCCAAACCATGGGAAAAGTTAGCACCCTGACCGAGTGAGCACAAGTGGAGTGTGTGCAGCAGCAGCGGAGATCGCTGCACACGGACCCCGGTGTGCTCGGGAGAACACGCAGGGCAGTAGCAAGCCTGTCGGTGTCGGCAGGAGGGGACCCTCATCAAACGGCTTCACTTCACAGTCGTGCTGGAGGTGACCATGCAGTAAGATGCCACCACACAGTGAGGTACCATTCAGGGCCAGCCCTAACTCGTGCTGTTAGGTAATCCAACCAGGAATGTTCTGGAACACTCACAGTGATGCAGGCACGTACCCGCGGAGTTTCCGGCTGCGTCCTGCGCGCCACCATGAGGAACAGCTGCTGCTGCAGGGCACTGACTGCAGGGTCCCCCGAGGGAGGGTCTGGGCTCTCAGACGTGGTGGTGCTGGAGGAGCTGACTTGCATGTCTCTGGGGACGGGCGAAGCAGAAGCTTGGTTACAGGTGCAGAGTCCTCTATTTACTATCCGCAGCACAAGAACACCAGGGCAGAGAGGCTCAGGCGGGCCCTGAACGTCGTGTGTGCGAAGCTACCTTCCGGCAGAAGGGCACACATTCCAATCACTCGGGCTGCCCAGGGCTGCCTGTGCCACTGAAGTCGTTCAGTAGTGACAACCTTGATGCTCTGTGGATGTGATGGGTGGGGCGGTGGTAGCAACAGTTTCCAGCCTCATATTTATGAAAGCAATAAATAGTGGGCTGGATAATTCAGGAAGAAACAGTGATCAGCCCTGGCCAGTTTGGCTCAGTGGTTGGAGCGTCAACCTGCGGTCCGGAGAGACCCGGGTTCGGTTCCCGCTAAGGGCATGTACCTCAGTTGCAGTTTGTCCCCGGCCCTGGTTGGTCGTGCGGGTGGCAGCCACTTGATGTGTCCCTTTCACGTCGATGTTTCTCTCTCTCTCTCTCTCTCTCTCTCTCTCTCTCTCTCTCTCTTTCTCTCTGTCTTCCTCTCCCTCCCTCCCACTCTATCTGAACAAAAAGTGGAAAAATGTCCTCGGGTGAGGATAAAAAAAAAAAAAAAGAAACAGTGATCACACAACACCTCTGCTACCTCCTCTGACCCCCACCCCCTACCCCCCACGTGTCTTCCTTGCACTCCACCCCACCCCAAAGCAAAGAGAATACACACTAGGTAAGAGAAATGCCTCAGGTAACTGAAAAAAGAGGACATCACCAAATTAGTTGTGATATACATCAAAATAGTTTTATTGTCTTTCATCACCTACAGATAGGACTTAAATCAATGGAACTCTTCAAGCAGGCTCAAGCCTGGAATTTTCCTTTGGCTCAGAGAGCAAACATGAGGCCACATTCTCCACCTGCTTTTCTAGGGGTGCCGGGAACTTTGAGGAGACATTGGCTGCCTACCCGACAGAATTCGTTTCTAACAGAATTCCTGTAACATGACTCCAATTTACTCAGCCATCTAACACTGTGTGCTTCAGAAGAGACACTAGGCCCCTTCCTTGTACCTGGGGTGAATCCCAGTCTTTCTACATCGACCAAGGTAACTCCATTCACCCTGGCCAGTGTGGCTTTGGAATGGGGGTAACACTGACCTAGGAGGCCACTGGGAGCAGAGGGAGTCAGCTGGGGAGAAGGGAGCTCAGGGGCAAGTATTTCTACTACATAAAAGGTAACGTGAGTAAGAGACTGTCTTCCTGGCCTTCAGATGCAGTGTGAGTTGGAAACACTTGAGCCGCAGCAGCCACACTGTCATCATGAGGCATAGGCCTGAGGACAGAAGCCCTGAGATCAGCAGAGCTGAGAGATGGAAAGAAACTGGTTTTTGTTTTTTTGTTTTTATCCTCACCCGAGGACATTTTCCATTTTTGTTCAGATAGAGTGGGAGGGAGAGAGAGGAAGAGAGAGAGAGAGAGAGAGAGACAGAGAGAGAGAGAAACATCGATGTGAAAGGGACACACCAAGTGGCTGCCACCCGCACGACCAACCAGGGCCAGGGACAAACTGCAACCGAGGTACATGCCCTTAGCAGGAACCGAACCCAGGTCTCTCTGGACTGAAGGCTGATGCTCTAACCGCTGAGCCAAACCAGCCAGGGCAATCACCTTCTGATTTCTAATCTCACATTGTGTTATAAGTCTCTGAGGAGTTTTAGATTTTTCTTTTTCCAAACTCCCTGCTGCTATATTCATAAATATACAGACACTTATTCTACAGGAACAGTGTTTAAAATATTTCCGCTCACATACACATTCACACGCACGTGCACACACACGATTTCTCCACATTTGCTTAAGACACAGTTTATGACTATCGGATGACACCTTCCGTAAAGGACCATGTGAGAAGCAGTATATGTTAAAGTCAGGGTTTAAGAAACAAATCAGGAGGGTTAAGTGCATGGAGTTTGAAAACTTAAAAACTTCCTTCCGTTATTTGGATGACTGCACCATAAACAGTGCTTTTGCTGCTTCTTCATATTCACAGTGTAATGTCTGCTAACAGAGAAACAGATTGATGAAGACAATGCTCATTCAAACTTTGCTGCTTTGTACAGAAACCACTGAGGACTGTAATCTGTTGTTTCACAGCTAAACGCAATAGGATTAAAAGTGCCTTGTTAATTCAGAGTCATCTACTACTCCGCGAATGCCAGAAATGCACTAAAACCAAGAGATTAATCTAACTTCACTGTAGGTAATGTAGGTGATGACTATCAACAGGCAAGTACGGCAAGGAAATGTGTGCTTCTGTGAGAAAAATCTGGAAAGTGTATAGCGCCCTCTATTGCCAATCAAAACAAACTGAGAACTGACTGTGAGGTGCCCACACAGCAGAGCCAGTCACAGTGCCCTCCAGCTGGTGCCTCCCGCTGGGAATCAGGACACAAAGGAAGTGTCCGTGACACCTCAGCTTAATTTCTGCATCTTACTTGGCATGTTGCTGATTGCAAAATAATAATAAATAACATTATTTTCTTATGCAAGCCATTAAAAAATCCTATGTAAAAGTTGCGGGTTTGGTTTTCTTTTCGATCTCTTTTGGATGAATTCTAGAACTAAACAGAAGGAGGCTTGCGTGGCCACTGGACTACGTACCACCTGTGACTCCACCCATGTTGTTCTCCTGCCTGAAGTCCTCGTCTGCGAAACAGGGAAGCCGCTTCCCCACGGGGCTCGCTGTGAGAATTCTATCAGACCCGGCATGGAAAACACCAAACGGTGCCTCCAAGATGTGAGGCCCTTAACGGCCATTCCTAAGCTTTTTATTGCCTTCTATGGATATAGGACCTGACTTTGCTTATTGTCATATTAAATAGCAACATGACCCCTACGCTTTTCACACAGATAACATACGAAGTCCAGTTGTGTCTACTGGCAGGAATGGGGGAAGGGTGTTCTGCCCTCAGTTTGCACCAAACCCTCTTAATTTATAAAGACAGGGTCCAACAGCACATCAGTTCCCTCGTAGCCGACCTCTTTCACGAGCGCTGAGTGTTCTGGACAAAGCATGATGACGCCAACAGTCTCCCTGAGCTGTCTGACAGGTGTGTGTGCACATCAGAAACCTGTGTCGTCCCCTGTGGGTGGGCCTCCTGCTCGCCAGGAGGCGCCAGAGCTACAGGAAGCACTGCTCAGCCGACAGAGACTCGCCCGGACTCACACACTTCTCTTAGCACCTGAAGTTGGAGCCGTGGCCCAGGGCACCAGCTTGCCACGCACGAAGCAGAGGCTGTGACGTGATACAAATCAGTGCGCAGCAGCCTTCCTGCCCGTCGGTGAAGATCGCCTCCCTCTCTCCTTTTATTTGTATTTTTTCTCAATTTGTTGCTTATTCTCCCCTTTGGACCATGAGCTGCATAATCACCTAACGTCTGTTTTACTAACTTGAGGCCAAAGATTTCCCCCTACATTAATAAAGACATAATGTGAGTGTGCTAAGTTCCCAGAGACAGTTCCTCCGGTACCACAGCCGTGGAGATGGGAGCGTCCCAGGCCCGCGCTGACCGCACGCGCAACTACACTGAGCGGCGCTGGCGCATCTGGTCTCGATTAGCCCGTTCTCCAGTTAGCCTCTGCGGACTAGTTTGGTTCAGGTTGTAGCACAGATAAATCGATCTGAACTAGATTGAGCTCAGAGCAATAGCGAAAATCGTGCTGGATGGTGGAAACCACGTAAGGAGCAGCCACCAAAAGGAAATCGAGATGGAACAGAGGCTGGAATGCAGTCTGGGCCAGAAGGCTGCACTTTGCCAGGCAGAGCTGGGTCTCAAATTGATGATGACAATATCCTACTATGCTGTACTCCCCAGGTTTTCATTCAGCTAAGCTTCTACAAGTATCAAATAATCAAAATACCTGTCCTTCTGTATTTTTCCACTGTTGTGGAAATAAATTCCTGAAATTCTTCATCTTTCCCAGATCTCAAAAACTACAGCCCGCCAGCTAGAGGGAGGGAGAGAAGAGGGCCTCTCTCTGCTGGTTCTGTCTTACTTTTCGAGCTTTCTCAGGGGACACGGGAACACGCGACCCAGGGGGCAGGGAAGACGTGAAAGTCACAGCCACAGTGTTCAGTGTGTAGGATATTTAAATAAAGCAGCCCTGTTTTGAAAACTGCAGCCTGGTATTTAGACTTTTAACAGGGATTCTTGTTTTAAAGTCTGCAAACAACTCTTCTTTTATATGACAGCAAAATTCATCTGTGCATTTGAGATCAAGGGCAGCATAGTGGCAGCCAGACAGGGCCTCCGGCACGGGGTCTGAGTGCCACCATGTGGCCGTCGGGGCTGTGACCACGGGAGCAGAACACCGCATCACAGGGCTTCTTCAGAGCAGGTGTCTCGGAGAACAGAAGTCTCTCCAGAATCAACCTCGTACACCTCGTAGGACTCGTGCCTGGACAGAAACTTCATCTCCGATGTGTCTAGGAGAACCAAGTGACGGCCCAGGGAAGCCTCTGAGAGTGACGGCTGAAGAGCAGGAGAGGGCCCAGAACGGGGACGGCAGGAACGCTTCAGCCTCGGCAGCCCCTGCGTGACCACCTGCTTTGTGATCGAAGGCACCCGGGCCCCGGAAGCGTTTACATTGAAAGCATTGAACACATACATCTGTGTGCACGTCAGCAGTGATGCCGCTGCACACACGCTCGGATATTTACGGTTAGAGTGAAACGTTCAACCTCTACTTGAAGAGGACGTAGAACTGGGCACATCTAATGTTGGGAGGCGTCACAACATTTCACTCTGCGTTATGAAGACTGACAACTGATTAACTTCAGTGTCCAACATTCCGGCTCGGTTATTCCAAACCAGGCATCACTACTACTTCTGACTAATGTAAACAAGAGAGTCAACAAGACATGATTATTCTGCCTGTTTACCTTCTTTGGGAACCAGGTATATACTTAAGCCTCGTGGCCATAAAAGGCTTTCCTGAGAGTTGATCCCA